TAACTTGCTGATTTTTCAGTCTTTCTTCAATTTGAACGTATTCTTTTATTTCAAAATAGGCACAGTTGCATCCTAAAGTTTTGATGTATATAATTTTCAACACCATTCAAGCCATTTTCAGTCTCCTTTATAATTTATTCTTTGACCAACAGTTTATTAGCACTACATTAAAAATTTTTCAAGCATGAGAGTTTTTATACTTTTATTATTAACTTCTAAGCTTATTTGCACTGTGATCAGAGAACATTCTGGAGAACTCTAATCATCTTGAAATTTGCTGAAATATGATTCAGGGCCAACATATAATTAATTTTTGTAAATATTCTACGTGGGCTTGAAATGAGAAGTATACTGCAGTTGTCAAGTATAATATTGTGCACATGCTAATGAAATCAAGTTTGTTAACTGTTGTTTTACAAATCTATATACTAATTGATTTTTTGACTGTTTTTATAAAATACTAAGAGGGCTATCAAAATTGTCCCACTACAATAGTAAGTCTGTCTTTTTTCGTTGAGTTTTGCCAATTTTTGCTTTATATATCTGGAGGCTGAGTTATTAGGAACATATAAATTTCAAATTATAAATTTTGAAATTAAACCTTTGATCATCAGGAAGCACACCTCTTTATATCCAATACTATCTGGTGAATTAAACCTTTCATCATTAGGAAACACAGTTTTATATCCTGTCATATTTGTTGCCCTAAACTTTACCATCAGGTATTAATATAGCTATAAGACCTTCTGTTGTTATTTTAAAACTCTATTTTTTCATACATTTAAAACTTTATCCTTTCAGGGTCCTTTTATATTAAATGTGTCTCTTGTATACATCACAGAGTTGGGTTTTATTTTTCAGCTAGTTTGGCAATCTTTGCTTTTTTTAACTCAAAAAATTTAGTCCACTTTTATTTATTACTGATATATTTACATTTAAATCTACCATCTTACTAATTCCCTATGTGTCTCACTTGTTTGGCGTCATTTTTTTTTCTTTCCTTTCTTGTCTTCTTTTGGAAGGACTGAACGATTTTCACTGTTTCAATCTTCCACTCACATCCCCAATTTGCTTGTTATTCATCTTTTATTATTATTTAAATAGGTACCTTAGAGTTTAAAATGTATACCCTTGATTTATCAAAGTCTACATGTATATACACACCCCGTACCCTGACCAATAGGCAATTGTTGGGTTGTAGTTTTAAGTCTTTTTATTTTAAATACCACAGGGATTATTTTATAGTTTATATTATTTTTATTTTATAATCCATGTGTTTACTCTTTTTGTTTTCCTCATTCATTTCTGAAACCAAGTTTCTTGAAAAAAAAACTTCAAGTTTTTTCTTCTGCTTGAACAAAACTTTATTATTTCCTTTAGTATAGGTATTTTGGTAACAAATTCTATAAATCTGTCTACAAATGTCCTTATATTAACTTCACCATGAAGGAATTTTTCCTGGGAATAGAGATCTAAGTTAGTAGTAATTTTAGTTTCAGCCCTACGAAGACGTCATTCCATTCTCTTTTGTCCTTCATGGGTTTTGTGGAGAGGCCGGCTGTCAAACTGTTGCTCTTTTGAAAGAACTCCCTTACCTCCACTTAGCTCTGGGTAGTTCTAAACATTTTTCACTTTGTGTTTAGTTTTCAGCATTTTTACTCTGATGTGCCTAGGAGTCATTACCTTTTATCCCACTGGGATTCACGGGGCTTCTTGAATCTGTGAATCTATGGCCGGTTTTTTTTTTTTTTGGACAGTTTTAGAATGTTCTCAGTCATTCTCTCTCAACATCGTCCTGTCCCATTGTCTTTCTCTTCTCCTTCTGCTATTCCATTAGACATATTAGACTGCTCACTATATCCCTATTTATCTTATCCTCTCTTCTGTATCTTACATTCATTTTTCTCTCCATTTTCTTTTGATCTATTTTTATTTACTAGCTCTTTCTTTAGCTGTTCATAATCTGCTGTGGTTGTATCTACCAACTGAGTTCTTAATTTTGATTGCTATAGTTTATTTCTAGTTTTCATTTGGTCCTTTTTGTTGTTTCCAGTTCTCTTTTTAAAATTCTCAAGTTTTTCTAATCTCTTTAAACAAATTAAGCACTTAAAATCTATGCCTAAAAATTCCATTATCTGGAGTCTGCCATTTGTCTACTTTCTTTTGTTTTTGTTAGGGTGACCTTGTCTCCTATTATATCTGGGAATTAAAATTGAGTCTCAGACACTGTATATTAAAAATATAGAAACAATTTGAGGCCCAGTATGATGTTATATGCCTCTAAGAGGACTTATATTTACTTCTGGTGGGCTGCTTAAGGCTCTACATTTCCATAATCATCTTAATTCCGTTTCAAGAGATGAGATGATTTGAAGCTAGGCCGATGTTGCTTTCTGGGGTTCCAATCCATAGCATGAAAGGTTTGGCAGTTTACCCCAACCCTTGTTGGGTCTCTGGGCTCTAATTTTTGTCCTCTTCACCCTTGTAAACCTTTCAAGAATGCTACTCCATCCACTTCTATGCCACCTTTTCTGAAATTTGCCAAAGCCCCGAGCATAAAAGAAACACAAAATGTCAGGTTCCCCTTTCTGAGTTTACTTATTTTTAGATCTATCCCTATAATTCTTTAATGCCTTGTTAATACTCCAGTGACTTCAAGCAGGTTACTTTTATATTTTATTCCAGAAGAAATAGTTCTCAACTATTTGGATTAGAAAAATTAATCCAAATTACCTAGTCTACCATTACCAAAAGCAGAAGAAGCCTTACTTTTTCCCAAATGGTATGTTCAAATTCTTTAGAGGAGTATCTGTTTCATTTTCTCCTTTTAACTTGGGTAGATATCGTATTTAAGTTTTGTCACTGGAATGAAGGAAATGTAACAGACACTGAATCGATTCCTTTTTAAACACTGCATCTCACTTCTGCACTCCATCATATTTGCAACTCTGCGACTCGAGCCTCTTCAGGGTTTTAACATGCAGCGTTTAGCCATGGTTTTTGTTTCATGCAACAACATGTCAGAAAAAAATTTTAAATCTTTCATACATTGTTAATAAGTAGTCTACTGTCTATTCTATTTATTTCTTTTGTACTTTTTTCTGTGTGGAATTGTAAGGAATAGGAAGAAAACGTGTTTAGTCTACCAATTTAAATTAGAAATTTCATTAAATCTTTAAAGTGTTCATAGACTTTGACCTAGTCATTCTACTTTCTAACAATTATCTTACAAATAGATATAAATACACAAAACTATATGGACAAGGATATTTTCTACAGCACTATTTTAGTAAAATAATGGAAATGACCCAAATACCTATTAATAGATTATTTAATTGATGGTACAATACCGAAACTTTAAAAGACTGAGATAAGTCAATATATAATAACATAATTCCATTTTTGTTAGAAAATAATTTTCAAAACCACATATGATAGTATATGCATACAGGAAGAATCCATATGCCAAATATATAAACATACTTATAATATATGCTAAATTAAATAATATTTCTCTATTAGGGAGGGTTTATAAAGAATTGTTTTCCTCATTAAAGTTTTATAATATTTGAATTTTTATAATGGGAATTATTTTTATCATAAATAAAACAAAACAAATAATAAAATATATCAAACCAACTAGACTTCTACAAAGCTCTCAAATGTCAAGAAGCCAAGCCAACATCAAAATACGTCTCTATTTAAAAGTAGGTAACACTGACCAAGTTAAGGCAAGCCCAGTAGTTAAAGGTATGGATCCTAGCCACAGGGAAATATCCTAGCGACTAGTGATATGAAAGTGAAATAAATATGAAAGAGATGATGAAATAATCAAAGGAAATATAGTGGGGGAACATTGAAAAGGCATAGAATAAAGGTGAGAAGTAAAACTAATGGAAACCAAGATAAGAATTAAAGTCCAGTAGGAAAGAAGCAAATGCATATATTTTAATGTTTAGGATATGTAATGGCAATAGTCATGGCTAAATTTTTCAATCCTTGATGCCTGTGCATCTGATAATACTAATTTCATATTGTGCCTAAATGAGTTAAACCAGAGCCACAAAGCCTGTTCTCGTATCTGTATCACTAAATAGCAGTATAATCTTAGACTGAGATCCCTTGATATTTTTGGTCTTCAGTTTCCAATTCCATAAAATGATGGGTTCGAATTAGATAATTGTCATGTTCAGATTAAAAAAAAACAAACTCTAACCCTGAAAGAGGATTGTTCCCCATTCAGTTAGGTATCTACTTGTCCAGCTGTTTACCCACACCTACCCCTTAATACCATACCAGAGATGACTAATGCCACAACTCCCTCTTCCTATACGTATAACAGACTGGTAATTAGCTATAGCACTTTGCCCCCTTGAATCCAGTCACTGGGCTCTCCCTTATTTTCATGCAGCCATTTCCAATGAATTGGAGATGGTACTTGAGATGAAATCTATTTGTCATCCTATAAATCTATAAGCAAGTTATGACTTTTGATACAGTTCAAAAACTTTAAGTATTTTTTACATTTTTAAAAAAACTCTGATAATTCTCTCCTATGAATAAAATTGAGTCTCATATTTTTGGACTCATTAGACTAATAAAATAGGATATGAACTCTGTCAAGATAACCTGAAGATGCCAACTTACATATTTCCTGATTTATTTATTCTGAATAACTTCTAATAACCTCTGTTAATATAGCTTCCTTAGTTAGAGGCACCAATGCTAGAGATTCTACACTCATGCAAACTGTCAAAGAACCTAATATACCCATTAATCCTATTCAACTGTACAGTCAATGGCACAATGAGGTCTGGGGTAATATAAACTGTACTGCATTGCTTATTTACTTAGCATGCATTCAGTGTAACCAGAGATAGTAATAGCAAAAGAAGAGTTAAAAATCTCAAGGTTTTCTTCCATAAAATATTTTAAAATCCTTAGATATAGAAGTCCCCACTATTTTATAATTAGACAAGCAAAGAAAAAAGAATCCTTACCAATTTTTCTGCTTCTGTATTCATTTCCCTTAATTTCTTGATATGTTCCTTTTTAATCATGAGAATTTTTGATAGTTTAGTCTACAGGAAGAAAAGAGATGTTTTAGAACAAATAGAGGCATTTAAGTAAATCAGTTAGACATCAGATTTCCGATTTTTCACTAAGATATTTTAGCAGCAGATTTTAGTGTTTCAATATAAACATAGCACAGGCTTTTTATTTTATAAATCTGATTAGCTGATATGAAAATATTATTTAAAGTCCACTGCAACCAGGACATGTCAAAAGGACTAAGGAGCCAACCTGAACAAGCTTTCACTGCGACAATTTGTGGACCAATAAGAATATTAACTACAAAGAAAAAAAAAAAAAGAATACTAACTACAATGGACTAAAGCACAAATATGTTAAAATCCATGAGTTCATACTGCTATCTTAAAAAAATTAACCATTGTTAGAGAATGCTAGTGACCAAACTCATTATTTTACAAACTGGAAAGCAAAACATCAAGCATTTATCTTGCCTTTCCCATACAAACCATACCATTAGGTAAGCAAGTAACAGATTAGGGGAAATTTTTCTTTATAAAATTATTTCAGCTAATAAATGAAGAAGGAATGATAGAATGAGAATAACATCTTTTTACAATCCTAGTGAATGAATGGATTTAGGCGCTGATAATCAGTGGCAGCTAACATATAAAAAAAAGATAACACAGTAAGAGTCTCCTATCGGGACACAGATTGTGGGAGACTCTATGGCCAAATAACCCAGTTTCTTCAACAAATAAGTTATTTGGGGAAAAAGAACATTCAGCATTTCAGAGCCAACTGAAAAAATTTAAATATTGATTAGATATTTGATAATATTAAGACATTTAAATTAATTTTTTAGGTGTAATAATGGTATTCTAGTTATATATATATATATTTTTTAAAGAGCCCTTATCTCTTAGAGATACATGATAAAATATTTACAGGTAAATGATATGATGTCTGGTATCTGCATCCAAATAACACAAAAGGGAGAAAGTAGGTGAGAGTAAAGATGAAATAGGACTGGATAGGAGTTGTTGATACTATTACGGCCAGATGATGGGTACATATATGTGCATTACACAATTGTGTGCTTATATGCTTTAAATTCTTGATATAAAAAATTCTAAAAAAATGACCTAAGTTGGTACAGGCCTGGTGAGATATGTTACGTACTTGTTCACACAGACTTTTATCTGGTGCTCAGTAGGCCTAGAGCTCTGGACTGCTCTCCTTTTTCCTCTAAGTTGCTGAGTTTTTACAGAAATTTGTATGATTTTTTTAGTGTTGGAAGCAGTAAAAGATGAGATAAAGGCAGCAGTTCTCTCTTTTGTTTCTGTTTCAGTTTTGTGTTGCTTGTTTTTGATAGAAAATCATTGTTTCCGTTTAATTCTTTTTAAAACTGAGTCCCAAGAAAGTGGATCCATCCTTTTAGATTCCTCAAAATCCCTAACCCCAAGAATAGAAAGTTCCCTCAAAAAGAAAATTCACCATAAACTATGATTTATGAAACTTGCAAAATTTTTTAATATTGTGTATTTTTAATAAGAAAAATATTAGGAAAAAGATAAAAACATATCCATCTACATATCTATTTACTTCAAAGCTTAATATTAACAAGAACAAACCTGTTTCATAAAACCTTACATATTACAAAAGACAAATACATAAAAGGATTTCTATTTTCACCTCTCAGCTTAAAATAGTAATGCAAGTAGGTCTTTAACCAGGCTTTACACATTTTGAAGTTAAAATTAAGCACTGATATCAAACATCTAAAAATCAATAAAAATATCAATACTTCAAAGCAGTGCAGTACGTACACAGCTTCTGGCTCCCTCTGCCAGTGGATCTCTCCCTCTCTCCTTCCTTTCTTTTCTCTCTCTCTCTCTGTCTCTCTGTCTCTCTGTCTCACTCACACACACGCACACACACACACACACGCACACACAAATATGACATGTTAGCTTTGTTTTTACTTTCACTATTTAAAGAAAGCATTTCTTTAAAAATCAAGTGTCCTATTTGTGAAAAGTATAAGCCTTGGTTCTTTTCATAGTTTCAACTTTTCATATAAAAATATCTTATCTACCTTTGGAAGCCGAAAGGCATAATAAAATTCTATACTGCAAGGAAATGTAATAACGTGATTAAGGAATACACAATGCCATATACATGTACACAGATGACAAGACTTTTCTTTGAAATAACATCAACTGCAAAAGGTAACACTGAATGTTTTAATGGATTATGCTACATGAAATAATATATAAACTTTTAAATTTATACTCTATCCCAAGCCAAAGTAGTTTTTCTTTTCAAAAAAGGAAAAGAAACAAATCAAATGTTGTTTGACTATGATTCAAACTTAATAAGAACCAAACTCAAGAAAAATCCAACAAAAAAGACCTTTAAGTCTTTTTTGACTGATATAACTTTTATCGTCAAGCTTTGCTGGAAATAACAGCATTCTTAAAATCAATAAAATCATTAAATATTTTTAAAATATGTGGTCCTAGAAAAAGTTTCAACTTTAATAACACAAAAGACATTGAGTTTTTTAACAAATAGCCAAGATATTCAGAGAAGTTCTTACCACTTGGATAAGGAATTCTACTGGAAAACCACCTAATGTTTCAGTGTCAGAGCCAGAAATTTTATTTCTCCAAGGTGACTGTCCTAATAAAGGATCATTATCCTATGGGAATAAAAGGAAATTATTTAACTATTCAAAGGGAGTATCTTACATTTAGATAAAAAGCAAATTGTATTATAATTAATATTATATTAAAAATCCTACAAAAAGGAAAATATTTCCAGGAGTTGAAGCAACTATTTACCTATTTAAAATCTGACAACTCAAAATCATGTGGGCACCTTCTGAAGTTGCTATAATAGATGTGTATTTCATAAGAACATAGTTCACATCTATAACAATCATTTAAATTACTGATGACATTTTAAAAATATTACCGTAATTGGTGACTGGAGAGGAGGAGTATAATGTAACCGTGGTGGAGTCATAAAAAATCGAGAAGGCCGCTGTTTTTGTCCAAAGGCAGCAATTGGCATTGTCTCATGAGGCTCATTACTCTTTGGAAAAAAAAGAGAAAAGTCCACAAAACTTGTAGAGCTCTACCAATAATGTTTAGTCTTATAAACATTATATTTCAGCGTGAGATATACACTAGCTCATATGCCATGATGTATCATAGAATATATTATCTTACAAAGATCAAAGGGCTAGAACTTAAGTCAGAGTATGAAAATACTACTTTGCTACCAAAAGGTCGAACCCACAAAACAGAAGAACTAAAAAAAAAAAGGACCAAAGGATCAAAACAGAGAATCAAAGATTAACATTATTCTGTGGCCACCCTTGGTTGTGTTAAAGACTACCTGAAGATTACTTACTATAATTAAAGTCAACTCTTATCTGGCCGGAGAGGAATATTTGGGTGATCTCATAAAGGAAATTACATTGATGAAACAGAAAAGCAATTTTCTTTTTTTGAAAGGGGAATTTTCCTTGTTTGATAAGGAAACCCTTACGATAAACAGAGAATTTTAGTTTTTAAAAAGTACATATTAGAAAAGGAAGAATCTTCTATTTTTGTACTAAGGAGATAAAGAAATTTTGATCTTTAATTTTAAGTTCATAAACCTTTAAAATCAAGTTTATAACAAAGAAATGAAAAAAAGAGAGGCCAAAAGTGAACAATTTAATTTCCATAATGCTTAGAGGCAAATAATTTTGTTATAAAGAGCTCATTATTCACTTTTTAAAAACTTCATTAGATTGCAGAGTTATATTTGTTCTTAAGATTATTTTAACTTATCAGAAAAGTATATAATTTCCATGACATTGCTAAATCAAGCATGATCATGAAATAATGGTCCAGCGGCTTAATGGATTGTATTAGAAATTCAAAAGAGCTGCGTTCTAGTCTCAGCCTGGTAAGAAACCAGCTCTAGAGCCTTGAATAAATCACTTAATTTATAATTATTTATGTTTCAGTTTCATCATACGAAAAGTGAGTATAATTAACATCTACCCTGCATAATTCTGAGGATAAAATCAGAGAACAAATTTTAAAGTGAAAAGTGTTACTTCATACTTTTAAAATTATTTTGCAAGAAGAGTGTACTTCAACAAAACAGCTGGAATAAAAGTCTTGTATAGCTTATTCTCTAAGATTATACTGTCAGGAGTGATCAGTTCTGTCACACAGAGGTGCTGTGTGGGTAAGGTACAATACAGAAATGCTAGTTTCTGAAAAATGTGGAAGACTTAAGTACAGTTGTGCTCCAGGGGGCCAGCAGGTAGGACCTGAAACCCTTAAGGATCTCTTTCTCTGTGACCCATTGATTCTATCATGAAGAACAATCTCTAAAAATGTTCTACATAACATATTTAGTAGGCATAATATACAAATATATTATGAAATACTTACAAGAACTTCGTAGTCAGGGATGGTATGGGTTCCAAGCCCTGTCCTATCAAAAGTTACTCTATAAGTAGCATTGAGAGTGTCCACAGCATCTATTTGTCCAGTGAACAGACCATCGTGAACACCACGCAACCGTGCTGAGAAAAGAACCAATAAGGCATTATGATGTTGGAAGATACAAAGAATTGTCAAATATAAAATTGCTCAAGCATGTAATTTAAAATGTAGAAAAGTATAGTATTATTGTCTATTATAATTTCAAAAAAAGTACACACTATTTCGGTTTAGAGAAAAAAAAATCTGAAACAAAAAACTATAAATGACGAACCCTATTTTAATAAATGAATGAAATCATATATCTACCAAATTAAAAGGAAAATATTTTTAAATCACTGTTTTAAACCTTGAATTGCAAAAAAAAAAAAAAAAAAGTCAAAAGAACTTTGGCCTTTCTACTCATAAGTGAAACAAAGGTACACAACTGAAAATTTTTTTTAAAAAAAAAACAAAAATGAGATACTACCTCATACCAGTTAGAATGGCTATTATCAACAAGACAAGTAATAACATATGTTGGAGAGGATGTGGGGAAAAAGAAACCCTCATACATTGCTGGTAGGAATGTAAACTGGTACAGCTGCTATGGAAAACAGTATGAAGTTTCCTCAAAAAATTAAGAACATAGCTACCATATGACCCAGCAGTCCCTCTTTTGGGTATCTATACCCCAAAAATTTGAAAACTTTTTTATAAAGCTATATGTATTCCTATGTTCATTGCAGCATTATTCACGGTGACCAAGACATGGAAACAACCAAAATGTCCTTTGACAGATGACTGGATAAAGAAGATGTAGTACATATATATAATGGAATATTGCTCAGCCATAAGATAAGATGAGATACTGCCATTTGCCACAACACAGATGGATCTTTAGAATATCATGCTAAGAAAAACGTCAGATGGAAAAAGTTAAGAACCATATAATTTCACTTATGTGTGAGATATAAAACTGAAAGCAACAAATGAACAAATAAGACAAACAAAAACTCATAGACACAAATAACAGTATGGGGGGAGAGGGGGGTGAGGGGAATTAGAAAAGGGTAAAGGGAGTCAACGATATGGTGACGGAAGGAGACTTGACCTTGAGTGGTGAACACACAATGAAATACACAGGTGGTGACTTACAGAATTGTATACTTGAACCCTATACAATTTTATTAACCAATGTGACCCCATAAGTTTAATTTTTTAAAAACGGAAATAAAAGACAGGGATGCCGTGAAGAATGAATATACCAGGCCTGAGACTGCTATCCTTAGAAAGGCCTGCCTTAGAGTTGGCATCTGGAAACTTGAATTCAGAGTGTTCCCACTGTTCCAATACTAATAAAAGTGGTTTTCTGTGCCAAGGTTGTATGTGAAAAAAATGTCATTTATGTTGTACACCTGCTTCTTTCAAGGAGCCTGGAATTCCAGTATGTGCTATGTAATGGTGCCTGCGTGACCACCCCAATAAAACCTTGGGTACTGAGTATCTAATGAGTTACTTTGATAGACAACACTTCACAAGTGATATTGCAATTTGTTGCTGGAGGAATTAAACAAGTCTTCTTAAGTAGAACTTGTGCCCTACATTCCTTTTTTCTCTGAATCATTCTAGTGAATCAGCAAATCTGGGGCAGTCTGAGGGCCCTTCATGCAAATGAATTCTTATGTCACTATTATTTAAATCCAGTCTGAAATAACATCAGGAAGATCCAAGCAAACATCCCACATGAGTGAAAAATATAAGAACAATAACATTTAAGGCATTGAACTAGGCAAAGTGACACATTTTATATGGATGAAAAAAGTACAATACACAGTATCATTTTAATAGAACACAACTATTCAATGCAAAACTTTTAAAAAATCAATTGGTTAAAAATACATAATTGTAGAAGACTAAAATATTTTCAGTTCCTGACAGATCAATTAAAAGTAAACCAGTATATAGAAGATATAGGTAATAAATAAAGTTGAATAAAATATAAATATAGAAAAGGACTTCTAGTTATGGCAGTGTGAAAGGATCTGTGATTCTTCTCTGCAAAAGACAAGTATAAGCCTGTATAAGACTGTCAAAGACAACCATTTTGGGGGAATAGAAATGGTCCAAAGGCATAAAACATTTAAGAAATGTGTAGTGTTGAAAAACTGCTAGAGCATCAGGTAAGGACAGGGGACGTCAGTGGCCTGTTAAGCATAAGGCTGTTCACACCCCCACCATCACCACCAGCTTGGTTGGTGAGAATGGTTTTCCTAGTGGATGGCTGGTCATGAAAACCAGCAGTGTTGTTGCCAAAGGGGGAAGGCTAGATGTGGACCAGTGGGGTAAAAACCTGTGACTTTGCCAGTTAAAAGTGGTGAAATCGATCAAAAAAGAGCAAGAAAAACCCAAAGCTTTGTAAGCCCAACGTGTAGTCCTGGCTGACGTGAGCGGCTGAACAGCAGAAATTTAACAGGGAGATTCTGGAAAGTAGACATCCTCGAAAGGGCTGAAATAAGCAAGCTCTCCATAAATCCCTGGCTAACTGAGAAACTACGTGAATGGGTAGGGAATACCTAAGAGAGTCTGGTAAAACGCAAAATCTCAGGCTCCCTTCCTCCAGAAAAACGCCCTGATTTATCCAACCATTTCTCAAACCCTTTCAGTACAATTACTAACCCACTTACTCAGCTGTACTATATAAGTTGTAATTTTAATTTATCGAATTATTGAAGATTAACTTAAACTTGAGGTTTTGGTGGTACTTTCCCTCCATGTTATAACTGAAGTGAATACATAGAATCACATTTATAAATTGACAAAATTTATACCCTTACAAAATTTTAAGCAAACTATCTAGTGAATAATTTAGTTTTACTGAGTCATTAGAAATGGACTATTTCTAGACTCAAAGATCACAAGAACAATGGTATTTGTGGACTATTCGAATGAGAGTGGTTAGAAAAAGAAAATAAATGATATGGAAGCAAAAGAATAATTTAAAAAATTTTAAATTTAAATAATATATAGCTATACTCATTCCAGTGAATTTAAAATTTCATCTTGTGGCCGTTTGTATTAGGCATTGCTTTGATCTAGTATACCTTTTTTCCAATTACTTTAAAAAACAGACTTCATAGATGAAGAAACAGTAACCCTCTATAATATATTGCTATAGTTTAAGCTTTCTAAATTTAAAAGCCATATCTCTAAGAGAAGTTATCCTGGTGTAAAATTACAAGTCAAAATATTAACAAGCTTATCTTCACTTACCTGTAACTTTGGTTCCAATAACCAGGGGCAAAGGAATCTCATCTGGGAGATCTTTGAATTGTGTAAGATCCGCCACTTTCCTTTGTTGTAGGAGCCTTATTTTCTGCCGTTTCTGTTTTAATGCTGATCTCTCTTCCTCAAAAAATGCAGAAGAACATCTAGAATAAATTACAAAAATCATATATAACTAGCCTACACAAAAACTTCAAGTCAGACCATCTATCTCATTGTTTGCTCTTCATCTCATTCTTTTGAATCCTGTGTTTAAAAATGAGTTCTTAGAAATCGTTTCCTTTCCAAGTTGCCCTTACATATTTTTAAAAACAAGGCCTTGCAAGACTCAAAGATATGTAAGCAAGTCTAGATTGTTCCTTCCTATAAAGCAGAAAGATTTGTTCACCATCCTTTGACAAAACTGCATCTGGATCTCAAGTCTTCATATAAGGACAAAGTGCAATTGTAATATTCTATTCAGAAGAATATGACATTTTTCCTGTCACCCAGTGAGCATACTACTATAGGAATGAAAAAGATGAGACGTGCCACTGTGTAAACGTTTAATCATTCTTCCTACCTGTAAGTATAAATACTGAATTTACTCTTCTTTTTAGGGTCTATCTTACTTATATTTTCAAATTCTATGATGAACCGAAGATATTTAAACATAGGTTTCATGCCACAAAATATATATCCATAAACCCATCACAATAGTCAAGATAATGGACATATAAAGACATCAATTACCCCCAAAAGTTTCCTTGTGCCTTTCCTACTTTGCATTCCTTCCACTCTTATACCCTCATTTGCCTAGCAATCACTATGTTGCTTTCTGTCATTATCATTTCTATTTTCTAAAATTTTATATAAATGAAATCATCTAGTATGTACTCTTTTGTTGGACTTCTCTCATTCGCATAGTTATTCTAAGATTCATTCGTATTGTAAATATCAGTGGTTCAATTCTTTTCATTGGAGAATAGTATTCTATTCTATAGCTATGTCTCAATTTGATTATCTATTCATCTGCTAGTGGATGTTTGGGTTGTTTCCATTTTGGGGCTAGTACAAATACAACGAAGTTGACATGAACATTTGTGTATATGTTTTTGTATCACGTGCTTTAATTTCTTTGAAATCAATACCTAGGAGTGGAATGGTTGGGTCATACGGTCAGTGTGTTTAACCTTTTAAAAATCAAAGAAGCCTAGTATCACCAAAGAAGGTATACAGATGGCAAATAAGCATATGAAAAGATTCTCTACGTCATATGTCATTAGGGAAATACAGATGAAACAACACACCACTACACACATAATAGCCAAAATCTGAAACACTGACAACACCAAATGCTGGCAAGGATGTGGAGCAATAGGAACTCTCATTCACTGCTGGTGGGAATGCAAAATGGTACAGCCACTTTGGAAGACAGTTTGGTGGTTTCTTACAAAACTAAACATACTCTTACTATATGATCTATTAAGAATACTCCTTGGTATTTACCCAGATGAGTTGAAGACTTATGTCCACACTAAAATCTGCACATGGATGTTTATAGCACTTTTATTCATCATTGCCGAAACTTGGAAGCAACTGAGATGTCCTTCAAAGAGTGAATGGATAAACCATGGTACATCCAGATAATGAAATATTACTCAGTGACAAAAAGAATGTGCTATCAAGCCATGAAAAAACATTGAGTAACCTGAAATATATATTACTAAGTGAAAGAAGCCAATCTGAAAAGGCTACATATGATTTCAATATATGACATTCTGAAAATGCAAAACTATAGAGATAATAAGACCAGCAGTTGCCAGGATTGGGTAGAGGAGGGAGGGATAAATAGGTGGAGCACAGAGGATTTTTAGGGCAGTAACAATATCTGTATGATATTATAATAGTGGACATATGTCATTATACATTAGTCAAAACCCAGAGAATGTACAACACCAGGAGTGAAGCCTAATGTAAAATATGGACTTTGAGGGATTATATGTTGATATAGATTCATCAATTGTCATAACTGTACACCACTGTGATGGTGGATGTTGATAACTGGGCAGGCTATGTATGTGTGGAGGCAGGGGAATATATGAGAAATCCTGTACCTTCCTCTCAATTTTTTTGTGAACTTAAAACTGTTCTACAAAAATTAAGCCCTAAAAAAAAAAACCACCTGCCAAACGGTTTTCAAAAGTGGTTGCACCATTTTATATTCCCATTAGCAGTGTATAAGAGTTCCTGTTACCCCATATTCTCACCAATGCTTAATATGCTTAGTCTTAAAAAATTTTAGATATTTCAGGTGCCATATTTTAATCATTCTTCTATTAATGGACATTAAGTTGTTGCCAATCTTTTCCTACTAAATAACTTTGTACCTATCATTTCACCTATGTACAAGTATTTCTGTGATATAAACTGGTAGAAGTACTAGGTCAAAGTGTATTGAAATTTGTAAATTTGATAGATATTACCAAATCATCCTCCATAGAAATTATACAAATTTAAATTCTCACTAGCAAGAGTGACCATTTCACCACACCACTGCCAACTTAAGTTGAGATACATTAAAAAATGTATCTCGGCACATTTTGATTTTGCATTTCTCATTATGGGTAAGATTGAACTCTTCATATATTTAGATGAGCCATTTCTTATTTCCTACAAACTGTCTCTTTATAATCATTTCTATTATGGGTTATTTTGTCTTTTTCTTGACGATTCATAGGCATTCTTTACACATTAGAGAATTAGCTCTTTGTGATAAAAGTTATGAATATTTCAACTACCTTTCAACTTTGTTTATGGTTTTTTTGGGGGGGAGGCAATGCAAAATGTTTTTTTCCCCCAGTGTTTTGAATATTATTATTTTTTATTACATTTATTGGGGACATTGGTTAATACATTATATAAGTTTCAAGTGTACCATTCTGTCATCTGTATATTGCATTGTGTACATGCTCACCACCCAAAGTCTAATCTGTCACCACGTATTTGGTCCCTATTACCCTCTTCATCCTCCTCCTACCCTTCTTCCCCCCTGGTAACCACCACACTATTGTTTGTGTCTATGAGTTTGTTTTTTGCTTAATGTTCTTATTTTTAATGAAATCGAATTTACTGATATTTTCTTTTTTGGTTCCCAGCTTTAGGGCTCGTTAGACCTTTTCCAATTCAAGATTAAGCGAAACTCTCATGTGGGATCCTTTAGTAGTTTCACTGTTTCATTTTAAAAATATTTAAATCTCTGAACCTTTTCAAATTTTTACTGGTATAAGGTGTGAGGTTTGAAATCAACTTGTTTCTCTAGATTGCTAAACAGTAATCTCAATATCCATTAAACAAATAATTTAACCCCATTCTCCCCTATGCAACCACAGATGCAACCACTGTTACCATGTACTAAATTCCCATAAAATTTAGTGATTCTATCTGGACTTTCTCTCCTTTTTTATTCATCTTATTCATGCACCACGACCATACTGTTTTTATTATGATCACTTTATAATCCATTTTAATATCTGATCAATGTAGTCTCTCTTTACTACTTTGCTTCTTTAGAATTTTCCTGGATTTTCTTGCTTGATTTCTCGTCTTTCAAACGTGAATTTTAGAATTGGTTTATCTAGTTTTAAAAAAAGGCCTACTAATATTTTTATTAAGATTGATTTTAATTTATAGATTAATTTAGGATTTTGAGTCTTATCCAAGATCATGTATGTCTTCACATTTCCTCATCTGTATCCTACACATTTCCTGTTAAGTTCCTTCCTGGTATTTTATCTCTCTTTTTTTTAAAGAATATTTTAAAAGTTTATTGTTATCAATAATTTGTATTATACCTGGACTTCCTCAGAGAAAAGAAAAACTACAAACTTTCATTGAAAATAAAGATTTTTAACTGTTAACTAGCCTTGATGAAGTAAAAGACTATAAGATTAAGCAATGTTATGGTAAGCTAATTGAGGATAAATTAAAAATAGAAATATAATAATGATACTCTTAAACAAACTACAGAATTATAACACATTACTAAAATAAATAGTGGCTAATATCTCATTCTGATGGACAATAATCAGAAATAGTGCAGCTCAATTAGCTTAAACACGTTATATCAAAAAAAACCCCAAAACTTCCTGAAGTAATTACCAAAGGCCATACATTACCAGTATGAAACACACTAACACATCAAATTTTAATTGTTCTTGTAAATGAAGGAAATCTTAAAAACATCATCAGCAAGGTCACCATTAAATACAAGGAATAAAACGAACTATTATCAGTTCAATTAAAATTTATCCTTACATTTCATCACTATCTCCAGAAATCATTAAAACTAAACTCCATTTCTACTTGTTCACGTCATTTTATATTTCTAGGTCTTTCTTGACTATTTCCCATTATTTAAAACCCTGTACATGCTTTTATTAGGCGGATAGACATACTATGAGAATTAACGATCCAATCCTTTAATACATTTCAAGATTCTACTCAAAAGTAATATAAGGTTTTGTGATGTGTTGGAAATCTGGATAACACTGGAAAAGGAAAAGTCATTTCACATGAAAAGTAATTCTCAGAAAGTAATTAGATATTAGATAGAGTCACTTGATTTGTTTTGATATAAAGTAAAATATACACTGTGAGAAGGCTTTTTTTTTCTTTTTTGTGAGAAGGCTCTTGAGGTGATAAAAAGTTTAACAAAAGATAACAATGTATGTACAACCTTATAGCTTCATTAAGTATTTTTTAGTGCATTCTTAAATATTTTTGGAACACAATGGGCTACAATTATATATAACAAAATTATATTCAAAGTTTGTGATGTGAACAAAAATGAGATTGCACAATTAATTATAAGATGTATAAGTATAAAAGGCCCTTACATTAAAGTTGGTTAACAGGATATATTTAACATATAATTCATTATTCTGAAAAGTTATGTGTTGGGACTTGTCCTTTAGAAGCTTAAAAAATTCAGTGTAGTAACAATACTACCAACTTACTGATTTTATTTTAAACAACAACATTGTTTTTACCTCCGTGGTTTTCCCATAAGCCGCCTGATTTTCCCCCATTCTACTCTTGTTAACTTTCTCGTTTTCAAATTAGGAAAAGATTCCTTTAGACATACGCAGAAGTCATTATCACCTTCAAAGAGTGGTCTATAAAATAGAAATGGTATTTTAATGGTTAATATACAATATGTTACTTAAGAGACATAAAATTCAAAACATGCATTATGATTTTCAATACTAAACAAAATGCCAAACTTTCACTTCTACTCAAAACACACAACAGGTACACACATTCAAAGTGCTAAACTAAACTAAATCCTTGGCATTTGTGAAACAATGTGTAAAAGTTACTCAGGCAATATTGTCTGTGCTTGAGGTGTCCAGAAGACACTGATTTTTGTTAAATCTCCGACAGGAGTGTATCCTCTGGGAGGCTATCCTGGCACTGGCATTATATCTGGGGAGGACAGACAATGTTAGCTACAAAATATCTGCCCTAAAGGTAATACCATCACCAAGGAGACCTCTTTGAGATTAAATCAGTTTTGGAAAACTGGAGGATTCTAGAAGGTCATATTAATTCTTAAGAATTCCAGAAGAACTCAGATCACACTACGGTACCCTGAGAACTCTCCTAAATCTATGGAAAATCTGTGGACAAAAATAAAACGATTTCATTCATGAGTTTGGGCAACCAGGAACCAGTCTTAGCAATGAATGATACCTGAATATCTTGGGCTTAAATGTGAATGTTCATGAGATTTGCAAGCATCAGAGTAGGTAATGGTTTGGAGAGTAGGTTTGGAAAGCAGAGAAGGAAAGTAAAGATAAGTAGCCAGCAAAGCAAGCACCAACAACTGGCATGGATTAGAAATCAGAATTTTTCCTCAGTAACTTCTGTTGTTGAATAATCGGATTTAACCCAAATCTCTTAATGTTTTATTTCAATATTTATTTCAATATAACTAAAATGTGTAAATACTATCCTAAAAATCTCATTGAATCAACTGTTTCTCTACTATTATATCAACACTTAAAATTTCAAGATTTATAAAACAAGTCTCGTTCATTGCAAAAATTGGTGCTTTGTTTTAGGGTACCTCCACTCCATAGTCTTTATAAATTATAATACAGAAATTATACTTTCATTTTATTTTTCACAAAAATCTATAACAACTCCTTTCCCAAAAGAAGGAATGGGGAAGAAAACCATGAGAAATGAAAATGGATTAAACCAGAATGAGGAATAGAAAAAGGAATTTAGGAAAAAAATAGGATTAAATTAAACTTAGAGAAAAGACTGTATGTTTGAAAAAGTTTTAAAAACAAATTTTTGGTTCAGGTAATATTTGTGATATGAGCCATGATACATACTTATCTATATTTGAGTAGAACCACTCATATATGCACCATTTATGTGCTTTGGGCAGCTTGAGTAGGTTACGTAACCGAAAACCAATCTTCTGTGAGGCTTTCTTATCTGGTGTTGACATTGTTGCTGTAAACTTCTATACAATAAAAACAGAGATTAACAACAGTTCCATTAAATAAAAATGCACATCTATCACACTGAATATATTTGTAAAAAGGTAAATTGTGGTTAAGTACTCAAAAAGATTCAACAACATTCGACATAGTATTTTTGTTATCATTTAACAAATAAATATTCTAATTAATTCTGACAAAGCCTCCAGTTTCATAACATATTCTGGTAAGGAATGTGAAATATTTACCCCCCACCATGTTTGCACTTCAGTACAATTTCAATTAAGGTATGCAAGAAGAAGATACCTGTTAGAAATATTTTTAGAGTTCTTGGGCCAGAAAAAAACAGTAAGGACTCAGCTACTATTGAGAGAGTAAGAGAAAACATGCAAGCAAGCAATAGGCCCAGAAGGTTTCACCAGAGAATTCTGTATCAAATCGTAACTCCAATGCTATTAAATGTTTCAAATCACTGAGGAAGTAAAAAAGGTTCCCAACAATTTTTATAAAGACAACACAACACAGATAATAAAATCTGCCAAAGTATAATGAAATAAAAGCTCAGAAAACATCACTCATTCCTATGAATTTTTAAAATGCTTGGCAAGATATTCTGTTTATAAATTGCAAGGACTAATATTGTTAAAATGTCCATATTACCCAAAACAATCAATCTAGAGATTCGATGCAATCCCTATTAAAATTCCAGTTGTATTTTTCACAGAGAAACAGAACAAGCAATCCCCAAATTAGTATAGAACCACAAAAGATCCCAAATACCCAAAGCTGGAGGTATCACACCCTCTGATTTCCAACTACATTACAAAACCACAGTAATATCAAAACAGTAGGATATTGGCACAAAAACAGATACATAGATCAAATGAATGGAAGAGAGAGCCCAAATATAAACCCACACATGTGGTCAATTAATTTATGACAAAGGAGCCAAGGATATACAATGGAAAAAGTACAGTCTCTTCAAAAAATGGTTTTGGGAAAACTAGACAGACACATGGAAAAGAATGAAACTGGACCACTATCTTGTACCATGCACAAAAACTAACTCAAAATACATTAAAGATTTGAATGTAAAACCTGAAACCACAAAACTCCCAGAATAAAACATGGGTAGTAAGCTCCTTGACAATGGTCTAGGTGATGATTTTTTGGATTAGACACTGAAAAGCAAAGGTATCAAAAGCAAAAATTAACAAGTAGGACTACATCAAACTAAAAAGCTCTGCACAGCAAAGGAAACGATCAACAAAATGAAAAAGCAACTTACAGAATGGGAGAAAACATTTCTAAGTCATATTATCTGAAAAGGAATTAATATCCAACATAGATAAAGAACTTATACAACAACAGGAAAAAACAATTTGATTAAAAAATGAGCACAGTATCTGAAGACATGGAATCCCTTAATAGCAATCCTACTGAATTAGAATGGGAAAACAGCTCTTAATAAATGTAAAAATATGCTGTATGTTAATGCTTTCTGAATTTGAATCAATCCAAAACCTCTTAAAATTATACATTCTATGGATATTATTAAAAAGACAAGAAACAAGAAGTGCTGGTGAGGATGTGAAGAAAAGGGGAACCCTTGTGCACTGCTGACGGGAATGTAAATTGGTGCAGCCACTGTGGAAAACAGTAAGAGTTTCTCAAAAAATTAAAAATAGGACTACCATATGATCCGGCAATTCCACTTCTGGGTATTTATCTGAAAGAAACAAAATCATATCTCGAAAAGATATCTGTACTCCCATGTTCACTGAAGCATTATTTCAATAGCCAAGACATGGAAGCAACCTAAGTCTCTATCAATGGATGAAAGAATAAAAGAAGTGTGGTGTATATATATATACAATGGTCTATTATTTAACCATAAAAAAAGAATGAAATCTTGGCTATTTGCAACAACACGAATAAACCTTGAGGGTATTATGCTAAGTGAAGTAAATCAGACAGAGAAAGACAAACACTATTATGATCTCACTAATATGTGTAATCTAAAATTAAAAAAAAAAAACAAAAAACCCAAAACCAAACTCATAGATACAGAGAACATATTGGTGGTTGCTATAGGCAGGACGTGGGGGATGGGCAAAATGGGTCAAAATGTAGAAAATTCCACTTACAAAATAAATAAGTCATGGAGATGTAATATACAGAATGGTTACAATAGTTAATAATACTGTATTGCATATTTAAAAGTTATTAAGAGAGATTTTAAAAGTTTTTGTTATAAGAAAAAATTTTTGTAACTGTGCTGACAGATGTTACCTAGCCTTACTGTAGTGATCATTTTGGAATATATACCAATATGAAATTAGTACATTGTATACCTGAAAGCAATACAAAATATCTCAATTGAAAAAAAGCTTTTTCTAAAAAAGAATGTTACCAGATAAATACCATAAGAACATCAAAAGAACACAACATAATCAAATAGAATTTATGTCAAAAATGCAAGGATGGTCCAGTATTAAAAAACTGTTGATGTAACTCACCATTATCAATAAATCAAAGCAATAAAAATCATATGATCACCTTCACTGATGCTAAAGACATCTGATAAAATTCAATATGCATTAAAACAACTCTTAATGCAATAGAAATAGAGAGAACAACTGAAAAAACACAAATGCCAAAAGTTAAATGATATGGCTAAAGTAATACCTGGAGGAAAGTTTAATTTATAGGACAAATGCCTATATTAGAAAAGAAGAAAGATCACAAATAACCTATCCTTCCATTTTAAGATACTAGGCAAAAAAGGCAAAGAAAACTCAAAGCAAGCAGAAGGAAAAAAATAAAGTTTAGAGCAGAAATAAATGAAATAGAAAACAGAAAAACAACAGAGAAAAATCAATGGAATCAAAAGTTCTTTGAAAAGGACAACAAAATTGACAAATCTTTAGTTAGAACATAAAAATCAATGAGGGATACTTTCTTAATCTATAGAACACATTTCTCAAAAAATTAAAAATAGGACTACCATATGATCCGGCAATTCCACTTCTGGGTATTTATCTGAAAGAAACAAAATCATATCTCGAACCCAAAAGTCAGCATTGTACTCAATGTTAAAGTATTAAAAACATTCTCATTAAAGTGATAAATATGACAAAGATGTTGACTATCACCTCTAATTTTTTAACGTTGTTTTGATGGTTTTAGCCAATTAGATAAGAGGAATAAAACTGCAAGAAGAAAAAACTATCATTGTTTGCAGGTGTTATGACTGCCCCAGAAAACTCAAGAAAGTCGACTATAACCATTACAAATAATAAGATAATTTAAAATGGTGAATACAAAGCTGATATACAAAAATCAGTATCTTAAAAAAACCACTTTTTTCTATATGTTAATGAGAACTGGTTAAACAATAAAACAGAAGAAATATCCTGTTTATGACAGCAAAAATGACAAGAACAAAGTATTAAATACCTAGGAATACACTTAAGAAATGTGCGAGATTGACATGGAAAAAATTTGCAAGAACACTTAGGAAAATCTAAAAAAAGAACAGTTAATAATGTCTTATCAGACATTAACACACGATATAACACCACAGTAAAACAATTTGACACTAGTACAACAGAGACATAGAGGATACAAAGAGACAGAAAATCTAGAAATAATCCCAAATATATACAGGATATTAGTTTGTGATGTAGGCAGCATTGTAAATCAATGTATAAATGATGGATTACTCAATAAATGTTACCAGAACAAACTAGTAGTCCTCTGGAAAAAAATTAGGTTGCAGTCTTACCTCATTCCTTACTACAAAATAAATTCAGATGGATTAAAATTTTAAACATCAAAAAAGCAAAAGAAGAAATATGACAAAATTCTCAAACTATAAATTTTAGATTAGGGATGGTCTTTCTGAGCATAAACTCAAGAACTCATAAAGAGAAAAGATAGTTCTATTTGAGTCTTAAAACTTTTTTCAATCCTGCATGGTGAAAAATGTAGAAACAAAGTCAGAAGACAAAGTACAAACTCTGAAAAAAAGTACAACCAATATAAACAGCCAAAGGCTAATAGTCTTAATACATACAAAATTCTTACAAGCTAATAAGAAAATAACCACAATCTAATGGAAAATGGGAAAAATACATAACAGTTTAGAGGAAAGGAAAAAAATAGTTTTTAAACAACATCACTCACAGATGAAATGTCGACTAAACAAGGGAGATGCTATTATTAGATTAGAAAAATTTGGATGTTTGATTATATACTGAGCTGGCAAGCACTTGAAAAAATAGGCACTATGATACATTGTTGGTAGAAAGTATAAACCAGTATAATATCCTTGGAGAATAATTTGGCAACACTTAAAAATTTTCAAATGTGCATATCCTATGACTCAGCAATTCCACATTTTAGGCATGCCTGGGATTCATTACAGCATTGTAATAGTAAAAACTTGGAAACCACTTAAATGCCCATAAATAAGAGAATTTGTAAATAAATTATGGTATCATAAATTTGAATACTATATAACAGTAAAAAAAATGAAATATTGAAGCCAGAATTTTCTTCTTTCTTCTCTTCCACCTCTCCCCTCCCCTTCCTTTTCAACCAGTTAGCCAGCTGACTAAATCGATCAGCATGGCCAGGTCTCAAAAACAGACTTTTCAGTGAAAAAAATAAATTACAGAATGATGTATGCTACAATGTCATGAAAATGATTCTATAAATGTAATTTTTAAATTACATATATTAAACAATATCAAATATTTTCTATAAATATATAGTCTTAGAAGTGTTAAAAAGGTCAAAAAGAATCATCAAGCTAATCACAGTGGTTACCAGTGGATAAGGGAAGTAGCTATGGAGGGTAGGTATAGGTCAAATTAACTTTTTTTTATTATAAACTTTTTACTTTGGAAAAATTGTAGATTTATAGAAAAGTTGTAAAGATAGTAACAAGTTCTCATACGTCCTTCACTTAGCTTTCCCTAATGTTAACATCTCATATAACCATGGTTTATCAAACCCAAGAAATTAACATTAGTATAATACTGTAAACTGCAAACTTTATTTGGATTTCTCCAGTTTTACCACTAATGCCCTTTTTCTGTACCAGAATTCAGGTCAAGATAACCACATTGTACTTAAAAAATTAACTTTTTCATGTAAAAAAATTTTTTGTTTACTGGGAGTTGTTAAGCATAAACACAAACTATTATAAAATATTATCAGAAAAGGTGCTATTTTTCTTTCCAATGAGTTATTTGCCAGATTTTTTAATGAGGTATTTGTAGCTCACTGGATATAAAACTGTATTAAAGATCCCTTGTTGAGCGTGAGGAAATACATTCAAATTGTTATTGGAAATATAAATTATTTCAACTTTTATGAATAGACTTTTGGTAGTATATTCCAAAGTTTAAATTTTATTATTGTAGCAATTACACATCTAAGGGTTTATTCATACCATGGAAAATGGAAAGTGATTGCTACTGGGTACAGGGTTTCTTTTGGAGTGATGAAAACATTCTAAAATTGGTTGTGGTAATAGTTGCTCAACTGTGCATATATTAAAACCACTGAATTGGGCACTTTAAATAGGTGAATGGTATGACATGTGAATTATTATCTCAATAAAGCTGTTAAAACAAACAAAAAAAAGCCGGGCTCTGGAGAAAGGATGCCTGCCATTTTAGTACCAGCCTTCACTTCCTAGCAAGACATTTCTCTGTGTCTGTTTTCTCATCTGAAAAATGGGAAATAACATAGTAGTAACCTAGGTCATCGGCATTGCCGAAGAGTAAATCAAAGCAATATGTATGAAGTGCTTAGAACAGGATGTACTATATATTAAGAACTCAATGGAAGTTGATTTTTGCTAATTTTTCAGCTCTAGACTGTGTGGTTTAAAGAAACACACAGAACACAAGAGATTTAAGGGACGTGACTAGGACAGTAAGGGAACAAGCTATGCCATGGTAAATAAATATTGAAAGAACTAGGCATGTTAAGTCAAGAAAAGAGAAAACTCAGAAGTCATCTCATATTATGTTTGTCTTATGTTTGCTCTGTGTTGCTCAGAAGTAGAAAGGACTTTGTAAAATAGTCCTAGAAAGAATGAGGTACCTAGGGAGGAAGGCAGTGGGTAGAGCTGGGGCAGGATGGTTTTATAGTCATAAAGACCAGGGTTTTCTGTATGCTTGAAAATTTTCTGTATGCTTGAAAAAAAAATTTAAAAAAATCCACATTTGAAAATTTAAAAAATCTAAACAGTCATTCAAATTATCCTAATAACACAGCTCTTCTAAAGTCAATGCAAGAAATAGTTATTTAACTATTTCTGATATTCATTCAACTCTGTATGCAACACCTACCAAGTTAAGCAATGCACGTTATTATTAGTTTCCATTTTTTAAAATTGAATTTTAGATCCTTATGTACATTTGTCCTTGATGTTAAAAAAAAGGTCAAAATACCTTTTTGTTCATTTTATAGAACATGAACATATTTTACTATTTGAAATTATCATAAAGATATGTCAGAGCTTTTTGGGTTTAAAACAAATTTTTCTGGTAGGGTATATTGCTGGTCATAACTTTATTTGGTGCCTAATCCTTCCTTGGTTGAGAAAATCCCCTCTACTATGGCCCATTCTACTAGAAAATCTCATAACATTTTTGAAAAAAATGAAAGGGAAGTAGGGAATAACTATCAAAAATTTGATAAGAAGAATTACATTATTCTTAAAGTTAATATTTCTTTATCTAATTTTCATTCATTCCTTTGATTCTTACATGTCCACTATGACTTTAAAAAGATGCCAAAAATGAAAAAGGAGATATGATTTCATGCTACATATTTTCCTCTTCTGGATAAAGGAGTCTTCAACATCCTTCCCTCAGTGATAAAGGAGAGTTCTCCTCTTAGTCCCATTTAAACTCCAAACTCATTCCACATTGCCCAGTTCATTTTCATAATGTCTGCTATATCCATGCTTAAAAGAAAAGTGTGCATTTGTAAGGCTGAGGACTGGCTTTCTACTTTGATTTAAAGTTCATCAATAAAGTCTACGGCCATGCCACCCTGAACGTGCCCGATCTCGTCTGATCGGAAGCTAAGCAGGACTGGGCCTGGTGAGTACTTGGATGGGAGACCACCTAGGAATCCAGGTGCTGTAGGCATTAAAAAAATAAAATAATAAAATAAAATCCATTGATAAAATAATGGCCTTTTCTAGGTATGTAAAATAGGAGCTGAACTGGAGCACCGATTTAAAGAACTTGTTATTCGAAATGTAACAGAATAAATATAAACTGTATTACTCTGAGCAATTGCTCACTTTCTATCACATAAAAACAAAATTTCAGCCCACACATACCTGTGGAACCATTGCAACCCTCTGGTTTCTTTTAGGTGACCTTGTATTTATTTGTCTGTCATCTTCATCAGAAAAGAGTCGACTTCGTTTTGAATTTCTGAAAGGCTATGACAGAAATTTTTTATTTAATGAAAAGGCTGAACACTTCCCATCTTTGTTCCAAAATATAATTCTATACTTGGAATAATCCAGCTAACTCTGGATTATCAGAAGTATAGAAGGATGAAGTATGGGTAATACAAAGTACATAAAGTCAAATATAAATAATCGTATATTTAGAAAGTAGTAAGATACATATTTATGCAAACTGTTTACAAACAAAACACCTAGCTGATGATTAAACTAGAATCCAGGTCTCCTTAGTACACTGGCAGCCTGTAATGGTGAAGATAGGAAAATAAGTTCTGGAAATTCCAGTTCTCATTATGTTAATGTTTGCATTAGTACCAACTGGGTGTATCTCATGATGCATCTGTTGCATAGGGCTGGGCTGGGACAAAGTTACTAAATTACTGTAGATGGTAAATCTAAATGTATATAATATTACACTATATCTGCTCTCGAAAATTAAGTGAATGTACATTTGTAAATAAAAATACGAGATACCTTTAACAGATACTTGATAAATATGTATAGAACTAAAGAATTTTTAAGTACCCAAAAAACTTCATACATTTAACAGTCTCTAACATGAAAATTTTTACAGTCCATCCTAGATTCAGAGGCTTCCTTCATAGAGGACAGAAATAATATCCTAATAGTACCCACATCCTTTCTCAAGTCCTTTCTCCATCATTCAAGACAGAGCTTCATGCCTAGTTGGAAGGGAGGCAGGTGCAGAGGGAGGGCTAACCACATACGGGCAGCATCCAGTTGGTTCAAGGCTATGGATCTCTGAAGTTAAACACACTGAGAGTCTCAACATTCCATAGCCCTGACAGGAAGTCCCTTCCCCTGACAGAGGAGGAAGGGAATGATGGTGATAGAACAGATACAGTGTGAAAAGTCCTGTGCTTGCATTATGGCCAGCTGTCCAGACCACTGCTGTTTATCCCAGGTCCAGGTTTGTTTCATGACTGAACCCTAAAACCTCCTAGCTACCTGGCTGGGCAGGGGAGGAGCAGAGGCCCCCTAAATCATTGGTTATGCTAACTATAAGCTTATCTCTACTTTTCAACCCTAAATGTACTTACACTTGACCTACAAAAGATTTTAATACCTTATCACACAAGATCTTTCAACATCTTACCATTTATTTATATATCTTTTTGTAAAGAATAAGAGCTATGTAAAATTTTTTACATTCTAAAAAAATATGATTTGGTGGTCACTTCAGCAGCACATATACTAAAAAAATATGATTTGGGGTTGTTGGAGTTTTTTGTCTTTGCCTATTTAAAGAAACTACAATTACTTAACAAATGCTTAATGATGACCAGATTATCCTAGGCTACAAATTATTTATCTAAATATGATCAAATACTGCTCAATGACACATAAAGACTCAAATGTTTGGAGTTGGGGAAAAACCCTGGAAATTTTTTACTGTCCTGTAAGAATTTGCACATGACAATACAGACAATTTAGCTATCATATTCTAAAGTGTAAGAAAAACTAATTCCTTACCATTTCCACAGCAGAGCCTGTATTCCTGCCTTTCCAAACAGGTGTTTTTTGTAAAGAACTGAACTTTTCATTCCATGTGTTAGATAAGCTTCCCTCTGCAATAAATAATTATTACTAATAAGATTTAAGTTGAGGTCAAAGGATGTCATACTGTGAACACTGCTTTTAATAACAGCAATATCTGAAATATTTACCAATATGAAAAAAATACATTGACCATAATTTTTTCAAACTCTTTAAATAATTTGACAAAGCAATGCATCTTGAAAGTATTAAATTTTCTTATTAAAACATGCATGGCTTCTTTCTTTATTTTTGGTTTTTAATAATTCCTCTATTCTAATTTGCCAAGAATTACCCCGTAAGTATAATCTGATTGAAAGAAGGGCAATGGAAAAAGCTCCTTCTAATCTTGTATTTAGAGCATATTTCTAAATGTTTTCTGCTTCAATATATGAAACTCCTGATATCTAAAAATGAAATGTGTCGCATTTCGGTTTTCCTTAATTCAAAGAAATATCTTCAGAGTTGTATGCAATAGGAAAGATTCAATCAATTAGAGATATTACGAAAATAAAGGGTGAGTTCAATTTTTATAAAAAGGATGTGTTTATATAGCATGAGACATAGAAAACTGGGATGAATATATCCAACATAGTTATTTTTGTTTCCTTTCAGTTGCTTATCAGCATTTTGTAATTTTTTTCTATAGAAAATTTATATCACCTATATATATTTTTTAAAATAGAAAAATGATTCTAATATTGGGGAAAAAAACAACAAAATTTTTCAGATGTATATTTTAATACTTACAAAAGAAAAGAGGTGGGATGGGGTTTATCTCGGTAGGTAAAGAAATTAGGATAACTCTGGAAGATAAGTGTTCTCGAGCCAGAAGAATTTAATTTGGTAAATCACCAATCCAAAGCACAGCACAGTAGTTTTAAAAACTAGAAGTACTAATGAACACTTGAGAATATCTAGCTTCATTCCAAATTTACTTACCCAGTAGAATCTTGCTCAAGAGGTAAAATTTCAAAATATATTATATTAAGAGGGTTGGTCTAATGTACTTATAGAAAGAAATAACAAGACCAAAGAACATGTCTAACTTTTTTCTTAGAAAAAGAAAATTACTATCATTCTTTTATTTTAAAAGACTTGCATTATTATTTAAAAAGCAGGATTCATAAAAAATAAACTATTATGCAAAAATACAGCTTAGCACAATTGTTTAATAAATGCTTTAAATCTACTAAGATCTGTGTGGAATATTATAGTTAGAAAGTTCTTTAATCAGTAATTCTGGGGAGAAATTTTCTTAATAATTTCTAATAGCCAAGGACCAATTCTCTTGTAATGGCATATGAATTTAAAATTATCATTAGTAAAAATCAATAATGAATTATAACGTAGAAAAAAAAAAGAAACACTATATCCAAATTACTTTCATGAATTAAATTTCTAGTTTATGTCATACCTAAATGATCATGCTATGATTCTTACCTTTTAAACTGACAAGGGCTTTTGCTGAAGAGCCTGCAATTAAAACAAATAATATTACTGGATAATCAAAGTGAAAGAAAAAAAGCTTGGTTTAGGGGTAGAAGTGATCCATTTAGTTTTAGCAATTTTGAGTTTGAAATGGCGGTGGGATGTGCAATTAGAAATAACTAGTAGACAATTCAAGCTATAGACCAGAACTCAGATAAGGTAAAGAACTGGAGAAAGACATTTGGGAGTCTTATTGAAGTTGTGAGAACTGGAGACATTTCCAAAAGAAAAAAATGTAGAGAAGAAAGAAGAGCAGGGAAAGAATTTTGGATCCTCATCCAGAAGTACGCTGGTGCTGGAGACGGAAAAGAGAAAGGGAACTGAAATTTACGGAGGCGAAGATCAGAAGTGGAAATAGAGTGAAGACAACAGAAAATGGAAATGATTCAGGGACTGTCAGAGCAGTCAGTAAGTTCCTAGGAGGTACAGAAGGCAGGTATATACAACACTTAACATCAAGCTGCAAACGGGAGTTCAGAACAGCCAAGAGGGGCTCGCAGAAAGGTAGAGGGGTTCACTGACTAAAACAAACTTTAGTGTATATTAGAATAACCAGGAAGCTCCTCATACACACAGAATCTATACAATTAATAAAGGTCCTCAGGGGATTTTGTTGCAGGTAACCCTCAGGCTCACTTTGAGAAACACTAGGCTACTAGTATGAATAAAGGAAAGGGGTCCATAGGTAAGGGGAAGTAGCAAGATCGATAGAAAAAGACATTTTTATAAAAAAGGGTGAGCACTAAATTGAAAATCTCTGAATTGTATATGTACATTGTAAGGAAGACCAAGTCATTTGAAAAATAATAAGGGAAGATCTCTCTCACATGTGGCATCTGGAAAAAAAAAAAAACCAAACAACTTAGACAGATAGAGAACAGACTGGTGGTTGCCAGAGGTGGGGGAGGGAGAAACAGGTGAAAAGGTACAAACTTCTAGTTATAAGACAAATATGTCCAGGAGACGTTCCTGACTATTGTTAACAATAACGTATTAAACATCTAAAAGTTGCTAAAACAGTAGATCTTAAAAAGTTCTCATCGCAAGAAAAAAATTGTGGTTATGTGTGATGGGTGTTAGCTAGATTTATTGTGGTAATAATTTTGCAGTATGTATATATATATCAAATCATTATGTTATACACCTGAAACTAATACAATGTTATATGTCAATTATATCTCGACTTAAAAAAAAAATTAACATTAAAAAAAAACTCTTTCTATGTTCCAAAGTAGAAATTGTTCATAGAATTAAAGATGGGCAAATTTCCCTCTTTAAAATTTAAAAAACTGTTTAGAACACTTTTTCTTTTACTACAGTCAAATATTATTTATCATTCCTCATTTTCAAATTTGTTTTATTTCATAACCCGTTACTTCTCACCTCAGTTGCTGTGACATCAATTTATGTTTGAATTTAATCTAAGAGCAGGCAAAAGTGAAGTTATGTGAAAGGCTGGCCGGTTACTTGCATCGAGAAAAAGACAAATTTTTAAATGGCATGTTCTAAATGTATGTAAACATCTTTAAGGAGCCAGTCCATTATGACATCACACAATACATAAAAATCAATAAACAAAGGATGACCTCAGGGGATAAAGAAGAACATGAACTTAATACAAAAATCAGTGAAGATAAATTCTCCTTGGTGTTTAATAAAAGCAGCAATGATTTACAACTCATATAAATGGAGAACAAACTTTAAATGAGAAGTAACAGATAAAGTATTGCGATTCTGGCTATGAAACATTTTTACACATCTCAGATACTTAAACCTCAATTGATTTTTCTGCCATAGGGCAGTATGAGCGGCTTATGGAATAGACAACCCATCAACATCAAAGCCGCTCTTGCTTCACTCTATCCTCTTGCCTAGATGTGGAGAATGGTTAAGAGGACACCTTAAGAGCTTCTGTATTGTAAGTGAAGTTTAGTGACCATAGGCAGTAAATTTGTGGGGAGAGAAGTCAAGGAGAGATGCTGTAAAGTCTTGCTAAAAAACTTCGAACAATGCAAACAATTGTGAAACAGCAGTAGTAGACTGGCACATGTCTATGCAGCTACCATGAGAAGTATGGTTCGTTTGAGGAAAAGCAGTAACCATTTATTCATTCAGTGAGTATGCATAAAGTGCTAACTGCATCCCAGTCCCTGCTCTACGCACTGGGGATAGGTCGGTAGCAAAACAGCCAATGTTCCTGCTCTCTTGGAATGACATTCTACTGAAGGGGGAGAGACAAACACACACATCAAGTGATGATAAGCACTACCTGAAGAAACTAATGCAGGATAATAAGGAGAGGGAATGTGGGTAGGGTTGGTGAAGGGAAGACTATTTTTCTGTAAGGTGTTCATGATCAGCTTTACGAAAGGTGATACCTGAGCAGAGATCTGAAGATAGAGGTGTGAGCTGCAGATTAAGACTAGCTGTGTTTGAATCTTGGTTGGTTCTGCCATGTTTCTGCTGTGTTATCTTAAGCAAATTACTTAATTTCTCTGTGCTGCTCAAAACGGGGGTAAAATGAGTTAATTTATGTAAAAGTGCTTAAAGAACAATGCACATAGCACGTGGCTAATTTTCATATTGTGCTGTCAGCATTATGTTGATCAATTAAAAAAACTATTAAATTAAGAACATGGATTTTACAGGCATGTGAATTTGATTAAGTTAGAATCCTGTTCTAACCGGGTATGTTCATTCATTCCTTCAACAAATATTCACTAAGTGCCTGACATAGCGCTATTCTAGGGGCTGTGTTACCTGATGGAAAAGCAAAGCAAAGTCTCTGCTCTCAGGGAGCTTGCACTCTAGTGGGGGGAGACCACAATAAGCAAGAGCATAAAATGATAACTATACTCCTGGCAGTTGTTATAAAGGAAATAAACAAGGTGATCTCAGTGAGGGTTACCTTACACAGGGAAGTTAGGAAAGGCTTCTCTTAATGAAGTAACATTTGAAAGGAACTAGCCAAGAGAGAGCAGGAGATCAAAGCAATGAGTCTGGACAGAAAAAACGATGGGTAAAAAAGTCCTGAGGTAGAAAGGTTAGCATAGCCAAGGAATAGGATGGCGGGGAGGGGGAGCGCGTGAAAGGGCACTGTGCTTGGGGAGCAGCTAGCAAGAGATGGGAGGTATGAAAAAGGTCAGAGAAGCCAGGTGTTATACATGGCACTGGAATGCAGGCATGAAGAAAACAGAAACAGTACCTTCCACAGTGCATCTTCTAACCAAAGCTAACCAAACACACTAACAAAAGCAAAGCTGCAACTGTGACAGCTGCCAATAAGAAGTTACATAGTGGCATGAAAAGATTTAATAAGAAGTAATCTTTGTCAGGGAGGACAGAAAATAGCTCTCTGAAGAAGCTTAAAATTGGATCTAAAGGATAAGCAGAGAGTGAGGGCCAGGAAGAACATTCCAGGTAGACAGAAGAGCAGGTGCAAAGGCCCTGCAGAAAAAAAAAAAAAAAGCCTGGTGAGTGTAAGGAATGAAAAAGGTCCAATTTAGCACCTAAGGGACAGAATAAGAGGAAGTGGTATAAAATGAAGCTGGGGAGGGGGGGAGTGGCCAGACAATGAAGGGTCTTCCAGCTGCTAAAGCATTTTAAACAGCAGGATGACATATATACATTTAGAAAAGATCTCTCTAGCTGCGTGGAGGTGGGGGTGGGGGTGGGGTAGGTCAGTGGATTGAGAGGCTGAAGTAATTAGTGCAAGGTAGAGGTGCTACCAGCTTGGACTAGGGTGGTGGTGAGAAGTAGGTAGAATTTTTTTTAAAGGTAAAAGTTACAAGACTTAGAGACTAAGGCTTAAATATGGAAAGCAAAATAAAAAGGGAGAACTCCCAAAGATAACCTCTAGGTTTCAGCTGAATGCACAGTGAAGCCATTCATTAAGACGGGAACCACTGAAGTATCTCTGTCCTGGGGTGGAATTATTAGGTAGATCTTGAACCGGTGAAGTTTGAGGGGCCTCAGGCATCTAAGAGGAGATGTGAAATAGGCGAGAGATATCAAGAACAGGAGCTCAGAGGAAAGATCTGGGCTGAAGATAGCCTCAGTTTCCTCATACACAAAAATCAAACTAATAAGAGTACTTACCTCTATTGAAATGAGGATTAAATTAGCAAATGTATATAGTATGTTTCATACAGCAGCTGGTTTATACTAAGACTCAATAAATGGTAGCTTTTATTCTGGATAATGTTATACTGGCTATTGTCTAATTTATTAGCTAGCCACCTTGGCTAAAACTGGCAAAAAAAAACATACTGCTATTTCTAGTATCAAAGTGAAATCACTTTCCCTTTTCAAGGCTCTGCTCCAGTTTCATTAACAATGCCTCTGATTCTACATTCAGTTCCATATAAATCAAGTATTTATGTATATCCGATCTGTGGCACTTTGTCACAAACCAGGGAAGGCAATCTCTGCTTTTAACAAGCTGTGATCTAGCTAAACAAGACATATACCACACAAACACACATGCAGGGCCCCAAACACCGCAATGTACCAGAGATGTCACAAATATAAATGTTAGTTTGAGAGTGGAGCTGGAATCTGAATCCTAGTATGGCTCTCAAGTCCACAAAGATGCATAGTAAGTATTCGATAAATGTTTAATAATGATGAGCAAATGTTCCGAATGACAGCTGTAAGAAAGCCACTTAAAACACCTCTCATTTCAACAGAATGACTACAGTAACCAAAATAACAGCTCTGGTGGTTGTGACTCCTAAGAAGTAATAAAACATCTTTATGATAAAGGTAGTAAGGATTTTCAGATGGCAAGCACACTGTGCTTAGTAGGCCCACCCTTATTTGGGAGCATCCTAAACCATAATCAACTATATTCTCCAAATGAAAAACAGTAAAATTCCCAGGTAGTCTGCAGTGTGCCCTGTCCAATATAGTAGCCAACAGCTACATGTAACTACTTAAGTTTAAATGAATGAAAATTAAATAAAATTGAAATTCAGTTCCTCAGTCACCATAGCCACAACTGAAGAGTTCCACAGCCACATGTGGCTACTGGCTTCCGTATTGGATGTGGCAAAATAGAACATTTCCATCACTGAGAAAGTTCTATTGGAACTTAGCACTAGTCTAGAGCAAATTTAAACTGCAAACTCTTTTAATAGAACTTTTCACCAGTCTGGCAACCTGAACTTTTATTTTAATTTTATAACACATTAAGAGTATATGACCCCAGAAAGAAAACAGAATTGGCTATCATCTTGAAAACTATTTGCCCCTTGCAAATTTCATCACTGATAGATTTAACAGTGACTGACCCTTCTGTTTCTTTTATATTAAAACTCTCGGAAGTATTATAAACACATAAACTGAATGAAGTGAGTGTGGATCCAGAACCCCTCTGTAACTAACTAAAACATTTACCTTTTAATATATTTTATACAATATTGTAAATGGCGGTATTAAGTTCTATAGTGCTTAAACTACGGACTCAGTGCTTTTACTCGCTCAACACAAGTGAGCACACATGTCTGAGATGGCAGGGTGCGTCAACACGGTTGAGGGAAGCGGTGCACTGGGGTGAGAGTCAGCAAGAGCACTGTATGTGCATGCTGTGACCGTCACATCCATGGATGAAGGCACCCCGTGATTCTGAAGGCGCATTCGCACCGAAGGACGTTGGTGGGATAGGGGCCACCTGAACACTTGCGTACCCAGTCTGGATTATCTCTGGCAAGGTCCACAGCCACCTGTGGTCCCATGGGAAGGGGCCAGCCCTCTGACACGGAAACACTTCCAGGGGTGGACACACGGGGAGGGGGGGGGTGACAGTGAAGATCACAAGTGCCTGTAGAGGCAGAAACTGTGACAGGACAAGATCAGAGGCTGGGCCAGACCGGGGCTGTGACCACCCCTGCCCCAGCCCGAGCCCTCC